CGTTAAGCCACGCGACGAAAAAGTCTGGCTTAACGGCGACTCTCGACTCGGAAGTTAAAAGTTAGTTACATGCACAATGGCTACATTTTACGCACACAGATACCCAAATATTTCTACGCCGTCACCCACCAATGTAGGGCGAAAGTTATTTTTAGTCTTTATCTCCCTTTCCCCCCTTTTGCATGGCGATTTGTGTGTAGAATCGAAGAAAGGGGTTTGAAAATACATTTTCTGCCAGGTTTTGGTGAATATTCATGCTTTTGAGAGGTCGGTTAGGTTGAAATGTAGGGCCGAAAATTGCATGTTTACTTGTCTCTACTTCCAGTTTGTGTATTTCAAGTTTTTCATGGTGAACCTCATACATGCTTTTGTGCAAGAGTTTGCCACATGTTGCTCCTGCTGTGGCAGAAAGCGTCCTACCCAAGCGTTCTACCTTCTCACAGCAGCACACGATTCGCACTGGATATAGGCAACGTATTACTAACATTCAAAATCAAATTATAGACTATAAGTTTCCAACGAGCTCACTATAAATTAATTAAGAACAGACCAAACGTCAACATATCGTCCATGAGGATTATACATTCCTTTAAAATAAACCAGACGCTTCACCGGGGCCACTTACACATGCAGACGTATCGCCATTTGACATGTATAAAGGACTTCATTACACTAATAAATTCTAAAAGAGATACAGTAACGCAGTTAGTGGTCAGCTTGAGACCCTCTCATGGAAATATAATTCAATAACTGTGTATTATTACAATATAAATTAATTTGTGTCATTAATAATGGATATTTGTTTACATCAGTTGATCGTTAAAGCCGCATGCTGCTGCAAATCTAAAATAAAAAAACCTCGACGACTGGTAAGATAAATGTACACGCTAAAGCATACGTTTGGAATAAGGCCAGTAATTCTTGCCCGGTTGACAACAATGTTAAATTCTGGATTCGAACCCAAGACAGTTTAATAAAACTTTATAACACTAAGCCTCGGAGGATATACGAAAATCGCGTACGTGCACACTAATATGTACACGAGTGGAACTCAATTTTTCGTCCTATCCGAATGACTAGGCAAATTTTCCTTATCAGCACAGCAGGCGCCACCCCTCACAAGTGAAGACCTCGCTTGAAAAATTTCGATGGTTCTTCGATTCGAACATAGGTGCCTTCTCGGCTACCGCTGGACCCCACACAAATAGGACTGGAAATATCCGAAATATGACCGATGACGTTGTTGCACGCTCAAACAACCATCTGAGTTTTTCAATAACACTAGTGTTAGAGGAGATGGTTGTGTGACGTCACACGCACTACCCATGACGTGCGTGTGCGTGTGTGAAATAGCTTTATTTAACGTCTGCTTCTGCTGAAGTGATATTACCGACTCACCTCAACAGACTAATCGTTATATATCACCGCTTGTCGTTAAAATGTGTAAATAAAAATTTAAAATGCAATAAATCAAATAAGGCTCGGGAATTCAATCCACAGGATTCATTTTCGAGAATGTGTGTCTTTCTCGGTACGTTAAATCCGTTGCGTGACGAACATTGAAGAATCCATTTACAGTTCTGGCGGCTTCTTTGATGATCTACAGAACTAAACTTGATTATCCAATCAACATTAATAATCCTCAGAACCGCTAGGTGCTAATTAATATATTAGATCTCTAATATGGTGTATTCGCTAGACGGCGGTAGTTACAGACCGTGACCAAAAATAAATCCTTTGGGCGAAGGAGTTGGGAGAGATGGGGGGGGGGGTAACGTCCACTCGACACAAACTAGGTCGACCATTTCGGGACTAACATATGGTTCAATTTTATTTCAGTACTTCGCTTGCGCGTCGGGGTCTTTGACAGTAGAAGGAAACCGGAGAACCCGGAGGAAACTCACGAGGTTGGACAGGTCAGCCTACTCCTTGTCACGAACAACCGGGAATCGAAACCACGCCAGTTGACTCTATGACAGACCTTATGATACAGCGCGCACGTGCTAACCATTCGGCCATCCACCACCTCGAAGGAATCACACCTACGGCTTTCTTTTGAAGATTTCTGTGTTGTTTTGGGAAGCCAATATAATGGCGTTAAGGTGTTAAAGATTATTTACAACCCGTAAACTCTGTTCAACCTGAATTATGTTTATTGGGCTTTACTGTTTTTTTTTCCAAATTGTTAATGAAATCAATATAATCCAGTCCACCGGTGGCCAAGAACCATTCAAGAAACGACACAAATATGTCATTAAATAGCGAATGAACCGGCACGGCACGGGTTGTGCCTATAACTCCGAAATCGGACGCGGTAGGCCAACGCCACCAGGCCTATGTTATTCCCCGGTCCAATCTACCCTTATACACCAAATTTCAGCCTCGTGACAGACCTGGTGTAGCTGCCGATTCTGAATAGACAGACAAACGACATTCATAAATATTAGTAAAGATGTAACACCAATTGACACAATTAAAGAGACAATTCATGAACAAGGAATTCTCATTTATGGATGGACTTAATAGATAGATTAATTTCCTAATTGGCTTTACTAGGGATTGTCGTTATGTAGTTAGTCAACAAATAGTGGTTGACGTTTAGGGAGTGGCGTGCAAAGGTTTAGGGCCAAATGCTGGATTGTATGGGCCCAAGACTCAAGTATAGTGTCTATAGTGCTCCTCCATGTAAGTAACAACATCTAGTCGTTCGGCTAGGACGATAATCCGTAGTACACGATTGTGTGCACGTAAAAGAATCCATGACAGTCGGTTTCCGACGAAGGGTAAACGGAAACGGCACTGTCCCGAAATCACCCTGCATGACATGCAGACCAGTAGGACATTTAATACATGTGTCTTCTCTAGTGCAAACACGCCTGATGTCTCCAGGCCCAGTGCTCTATAAATACACTATTACATTAATGGATTATTACCAAGCCTCTGGTTCCACCGTAACAGTAACAATAACAAAGAAACGTGTTTTCCAGTTCAGGGTATGGTCTTTGTTAAAACCGGAGACTTACGTAAAATGTTTATTAAACTTTATTATATAATTATAATTAGTATGATTTATCAACTGAGTTTTATTCAATATGGAAAATCAAACAGTAATTTACTTCATTACCTGTACATAATCACTCAGTAATGGCGTAAAAACTAACCAAAGACACCATTAAAACCCATTTAAAGTATGCACCGTTTTTGTTGATACTAGACGTAATGATCCTTATTAGGCGAAAGTTTTTAGAAATTGCTTCAATTTATATTAGATTTAGCTGCAAGGGAGAATGTAACGACGATATGTGAATAGTTAGAGTAACAATATTAACCATATCATCATCGTCATCATCATCACAATAACATCGATTCTCTAATGAACTTAAATATTGTCTCAGAGTTTCTGATTCTATAAAGTTCTTGGGTAAACCCCCACACCTCACGCCAAGCTTTGAGTTCTCACGCCAAACGTTGTCTTCACCCAGGACACCCACTCTGATCAAATTCCTGGACACACCCCTGAAGTAGTCCGACACTCATCCCAGATTATGGCAAAAATTTAATGACTACCTACCTAATTAGAAGTTACCATAATTTCTCCAACTCTTGTTTACTACAATGTCAACTTTGGGATAATAATGATATTGGTGGGAGTGACCATTTTGTTATATAAAGCAGGACAAGTTCATTGACAGAAATCTTTCTGAAACCCCAACTCAAGTAATCTTTCTGACTTGTGAGTCAGCATCTTTTACTCGGAACTGCACATGGGTTATTGGGGTGGTCGGTGGACTGCGGGCTGTTTCGCGCTTTGCGTGATGGGTTTATAGATTTTGCAAACCACTGAGTTTTTGCAACCCCTCTCAAATGGTTTCAAGGCTATCAGTTGTCAGATACGGTACACATTCGACTCATGTAGTATAGTCTGGAAAATAATTAAACGTTTATTTGCCTCAATGATATATGTATTAATTCTAAAAATCATTAACTTGAAACATCATGCTATTCATTAAAGTTGAAGGCAGTTAATGGATTAATGTAGAATCATGGTAGGATGACTGAATTGGAATTGATAGGTGGAAAGCATTTAGCGTGGAGCCCTTGAAAGTGTATGTGGGCGTAGCAATTGCTATTAGGTTAAACGGGCACTGATGAACAGATATCGTTAAGTGGCATTGATAACTTTAAAGTATGCTAATCTACACTATGGTAATACCTGACGTCATGACACACAGGTGGAATTACAAAAATTTTAGAACTAAGAAAATAAAAAATGTTTTTCCACCATGGGACAAACGTGATCGGTGTTTGTGTGTAGCGCTAATAAACAATTATGCCCAACAGACGACCCCCGTTACGTAAGTATTTCTTGCTCTTTATGGGAAATAAAAACACGTGATGTTACATAATGAGTAGTATGTTGTTTGTTTACCCTTTCTTTCTGGTCATTTTCAGCTGGGTGAATTTTGATCGCATAACAGTTTAATATGATATGGCATGGGGTTTAACGTCCTGCTTTTCTGTACAATCCGGTCTAAAGAATTCGGACATTTGGAGCGAAATCTTGTCCCAACGCTCCACTGAAACCTACTATTACTTCGATATCCAAATGTCGGGGAACTTTCGGCTCATTTTCTAGTCTATATCAATGAGCAGAAGGACTAAAATTACGTCACGGCTTTTTATTGGCGGAAAGTTACCACGACTCAAGGAGAACGGCGGAAATCGCTAACGTTGAAGTTTACCGGTGGCAGGAAATTGACATTCGGGATCATTTTATACTTATGGAACGGATATGTTGACATAATTACTTGCATTATTTAAACGATTTATGAAGCTTTTCCGGTGAGGTTTAAGGTCTTTTGAACACCATGTTGCATATTGTATATATGTTTACAATTTTACTTTTACTTTCACAATATCAAGGTTAAAACAAGTACAACACCGGAGATAAACAGCACTTACACAATATTAACAACTTTCAACCTCCCAATATCTCAAACTCGTATTTAAACATCCTTTATTTGATAACAGACAATTACAGTTAATGTATTGACAGTAAATACCCATTCACAGACCTTGATATCAATCTGATTAAAACACAGATCCAATTTCGTTTCGTTTTTTATAGTTCAAAATTTCGATTTTACTTGTCTTTACTAAACTTGGATCTGGAAGCGTTGTTTATTTAACTCGTGTTCTGCTTGAAATGAGGGGTCAGCCAATCAAATGGTCTGTCGAATCGAGCGTTTGACCTTTTTTTGCGCGGAACTGTGGGTAGACATTAGCGGCAATAGAAATCAAAACAAAGCAAAAGTAGATAAAAAATACATGGTGGTCGCTAATTGGTTAATCGAATGACTGACGTAATCGGGTCAAATGTCGCTTGCTTGGTACCTGACGTCATAGAACGTGAACCCCCACTATAACTTGTTAGATCTACATGTAGTGTAGGCCATCGAAAGTATAAAAACCGAAACGAAATATAGATCTATATTTTAATTAGATTGACCTTGATATCAAAATCAAAATACAATTTATTCAATGGCGCCCGATAGTTTGGAGATATTTTCGCCAAAGTTTACCTGCCATCTGAGTAAAACGACGTTAACACCGCTACGGTACCAACACCGAGTGCGTTAACAACCTCCATTATTATTCGGTTAAGCATGATAACTATAATTTGAGTTGTGTATATATAAGATTAATGATAAAATATATTTTGTGGGTTACATCTTGTCCCTGTTGTGTGGTGAATTATAACCATTATCAGGACCAATAGGTACAATACGGTATGGATTAATAGCCCCGTGACTTTGCTGAAATAAATAAAAAGATAAGGAACATGTTAGAGAAAGTTCATCCAGATTTTTACGGCGTAGTTCCCTCTTGTCAGTGATGCAGTACGGAGGGCCTGACAGTGGCAAGGACAGCTGTCTAGTCGTTCGTAAGGGAAGAAAAACAGGTCCCGTGTACAAATTGGCGTACACGTAAAAGATCCCTTGAAAGTTGGAATTCAATATAAGGGTAGGCCATAGTGCCGCTGTCCGGGCAAAATTTCCCTCATAGCACACTGTATGGCGTATGCCCGTCTTCATTAGCCCAGCCCAGGGCAGAACAGTAGGACGTTAAATGCCATTTCATTTCATTTCATTTACCAGCCATCTTGGAATTGTGACAACATATAAAAAATCAAAGTTCAACGATCAATGAGCACTTGTGCAAAGAACAGTGTACATGTCCTTGAATTGGCGGACAACGACAAGAAACAGAAAGATTAACAAGTGTATGTATCATATGGAACCAGTTCCTGCTATTAAAATATTACCATTAAAAAACATGCCCATTCGACAATACCGTGGAATTTATAATCGAGATACAAATAACCAACAGAACACCAAATTCACTTTCCTAGTTTTAAGCTGGGTTCGTTTTCAAAGATTTCCTACGAATATCCGACTTGATTTCGACATGATATATGAACGGCCATATAAGCTAAAAATGGATTAACGCTATTTTGACTCTAATCAGAATCCTGGTCTTGGCAATAAAAACTGAATTCAACTGCATATTTGGACCATTTAAGAATGCCATACAATTCGAACGAAAAAAGTAGGAAAGAACTTGAAAAAAGAAAATACCCAGGGTTGTTTCGGCCCGGTCGGAGTTTAGTGTCCTTACCACACTTAAACTCGACCAAAACGACTACTAGGACTGACCCGGGAAGAAAATTTAATCCAATGAAAACTCACATAATAATGATTGACGATATGATCCATGTCGACAGTTTGAGCTATACCAGGTATCTGATAAATATCACAAATATAACCAAATAGATTTTTATAATCAACCATCCTCTTCTTATTACACTGGAAAAATAAAATAGTCAATTTAAAAAAAAAAGAAAAAAAATCATATGAATTTATAATTAGTACATGTATATATTTAAGTTCAGCTTCTGCTAATTTAATTTTTCTGGTCAAATTAGATTCACTTCTGGGTTGTAACTCGGAGCGTTCCGAATTGGCAGAATTTCAACCGAGTGACAATGAATTCAGTCTCGATAACTGATGTGATGTGAGTAGTGAACGAATGAAATGGGTTTTAACGTCTTACTTTTCTGCCCCAGGCAGTGTGCTATAAGGGAGATGTTGTTCAAATTGAATTGCAACCATCAAGGGTCCGTTTATGTGCACCACAAAGTGTAATTGGGATCGTTTATTGGTACCATCTGAACGACTAGACGTTGGCCCTTGCCCCTCGTCCTGCAAGGCTGATAAGGGAAGACCATGCTAGAAAATTCCCGGAAACGTTCTCGGCCACCACCGGAATCAAACTCCGGCAAACCTGGGTAAGTGAGCCAGTGCCTTATTCGCCGTGCCTGTGCCACTGCGGTGACATAATCAAACATGCCCAACATGTTTCAACTGGGGAGGCGGGATTGCCGCATACTTTGTAGCTCGAAATCCTCTTTCTCCTCTATTGTCACTATTCAGTGAGTGGCAAGAATACATTTCTAGAAAATGAAATTGGGTTTAACATTCTATTTGTTTCGGCACTAACCGGGCTAATAAGAGAAATTTTGTTTTCGGGCATTTTTGCATACTCTTCGTCGAATTCCAACTGCCAATGGTTCTTTTATACGCACGACATTCTGTACACTGTAACAAGACGCATAGTTTGAATGATTTTTTTAAAAGTATAATAGATGTGAAAAGCCGACAGAACCACAACCACAAGTTGCTTATTGCAGTTATCTCCCCTTTTCCTGTTTCAGAAATAAAATTATAGATAGAAAGGTGTATGTGTGAGGTAGGGGGTAGGGGAGAATAGGACTAAACACAATTCACAAAGTTGGCCATTTCGAGGCTAACATGGCATATTTTATTTTCATTCAACAAGGTTGGACTGGTAATCTTACAACTCGGGCCAACTGATCAACAGTTCACGTATTAGACAGACCACTGAATCAAATTTAATCCTACCTTAAAATGTGTATGATAGACTGAATCAAATCTAATTAATGTAGTAAAGAGTCTGACATCAGCTTCTGTTAAACAAGGACCTGTCAAATATCTTCTCTTTGATAATATGTCTTCAACCTACATAAAAAAATATATTTATGACACCATGTACATATTATCATCAACAACTTAGCTTGACACTCACCTGTAGGGTTGTACTTAATAGGGTACCACCTAGCTAATTTACAATAAAGAGGAATAAGATATAAGCCCGTTGACGACCTGGAGTCAAAAACCGAGGTCCTGTGTATCTTGGAGTAGTGCCTCATAGCATACTGCATAAGACGCGATAGAGCAGAAAGGTAGGACGTTAAAGCCCATTACATTAACGGATCGGTAAAATGAATTTTCGATTGTCTTTATTCGACATGGAGCATGCTCAAAATGTATTGAACTTTGAGAAAATTCTGTCTATCCATCGCTGGTAAACTTTAATTTAATAATCCAAACCTTTTCGAGTCCACTAAACACATCTGTTACAGCGACGTCATAAGCTTCCTGAGATTTTGCAAACCCACTTCTGTACACTCCATTATTTATCTGACTGAAATCAGAGAAATAAAAAATCGCTATTATATTTTATATAATCAGTTGGTCAAGATACATGGACATAGATGTTTTGGCAATGATGTTTGTCTCATCGTCGGAAGAACACATTGTGATGCGCTTATAATCGGGATTATTTATCTGACTGAAATCAGAAGAACATTATTTTCCTAATCTACTGTACCTTTATGTACCTTCCTTGTTTATGCTTTATATAAAATGTTTTTTAAGCGGAGGGAACAAACACCTTATGCCCTATATGGCCCGTCTTATGAACCTTTCTCCCGTTCCTACTATGCTTCTCCCTCCTTTAAAAATTCGCAAATCGCACTCAACTAAAGTAGACGATGTTTAACTGATGCTTCCACTATATTTAAGCTATGGACAGACGAGAGTATTTTTTCGCCTGGTCGGGGCGATTGAAATTCGCCAGCGATTTTTTACGGCCGATTACGAGCGTACGTCACTCTACGAGTAAATTACGTCGACGACGTGACTTGTCCAAACTGGCGAATCGCCTAAAACTATTAAAACTCTGGAATCGTGACTTCAAACAAGCAAGGCCTTTCTGAACAAAGAATCATTAATTCTTCTTCTTTCCTCAGACTCCACGCTTCGGCAGTGGAGGCGGCCACTTTGAGATCATGTGATATCAATGATGTCTCCGATTCGCTTAGGAAAATGATTCGCCCGACAATATACGCTGGACACGGTTAGATCTATTTGTTAAGGCCAACTCAATTTTTGTAAAGGTCGCTGAGATGTAAATAAGGTTATGGCAAGTGATTGTAGATTATGGTTAGGGTAAGCTTAATGGGTACGTCCAGGGTTATGCATAGGGCTGGGGTTAGCGCTGGCCCTGCTTATATCTCGTGACCTTTGACCAAATTGAAGTTGGCCTTATCAAATAGATCTAACCCACTGGACACGGGCGAATCGATCGTTGGCGTAAAATATTCGGCCGAAAATATCTAAGACATGGTTCGCCGAGCAGGATCGTCGTCGCCAAGAACGTGCACACGGGCGATTTTTTCGAGCGTTTTTAAAAATCGACACGATTGAGCGAAAACTACGCTCGTCTGCCCTTGGTACATCGTGATATCACAGACAAAAACAAAAGGTTCGGCACGGGTTACTGTGTGAAATACGTCGTAGCTTTAGTTAATGCACGTTTCTTCCACTGAAGGGATATCGCCTACAATTATATATTATACATGTATATTAAATAGTTACATATATTTAAATTAACGTGAAAAAAATGTGGACTCAATTTGTAACGGGTTACCAAAAACAAGGCTTTTTAAAGCTGCTTTCTGAATTTCCTTGGCTGAGAGTTAAAATCTTTACTGGTATTTAACTATTAACCAATGCAAATTCAGTATTTAATGTTAGATTGATTTTTTTATATAAGAAAACGTGGACATATAAATAAAGAATATAACATACGGATAAATCCATGAGTTGAGTTCATCAATCTCTGCTCTTAGATTACTGGGATAGAAGTTGAGTTTTTTCTGGTCGTCTGTTTTACAGAAAGTATTAAATTCTGTGTTAAACATTCTAATTATTTCACTCGACTCGTTATTAACAACAGTCTTCTTCTGTTTATCCCATAAACATGGTACAGTGATATTACCTGAATAATCTGAGATTACAGAGAAATGTAGTTTAACGTCCATTCAAAAACAAACCACGTTATTTCCGGATTAATATGTATTTACCTTTTAGTTGGGAGTTATAAACGTGTGAACCTGGGAAAATCCTAGAAGTTCGTCAGTTGTGGGATCTAAACCTCGCAACCATTTGCATCGATGACAAAGCTATTTTTGAAAATAAATTCGGTAGACATAATTATCTGACTCATTTGGTTAAATTTTAAGCCGCAGTGACTGTTGGGTGAGGAATATTACAAGAGGACATCCTAATTGGTTGAGCTGATCAAAAAGGATAAAAGATGGTCATAGACAACAGATTATCCGAAAGAAAACCCGGATGCTTACCAAATTTGATAAGAATCCGTTATGCCGTCAATAAATATGTTCTCTATGGAGTCCACAGGCTTTTCCGGACATGTAAAATATCTCAGAACAGAAAGTCCTAAAACTTTATCGCGGAAAAGGAGGGGCGCTGAAAATCGGCAAGGCTCATCCTCTTTCAATAATTCACGCAAAATTTGTAAAAATAATCTGTTAATTGTAGACCCTATCGCATTCACAGGAAGGAAAAGGTCTCGGATTTCTGAAAACCGATAGAGCTGGTCCTCTCATTACCCCAAACAGTTTAAATTGCATTTTTAAAGAAATATAACGATAAAGAGTGGCAAACCTGGATCAGCAAGATTATAAACTTCTCTTAGATAATTACAACCATTAACAGTATCCAGGGTACATTTGGGTTTCTGTAATACAAAATATACGGTTAGAAGGTACACAGTGTCCACTGTACATTTATGTTTCTGTAATACAAAACATACGGTTAAAAGGTATAAGTATCCAGGGTACATCTGGGTTTCTGTAAAACAAAACACATGATTACACGAAATGATTGGATTCTTGAATTTGGTAGATATTGATTATTGGTACTTCTTGTCCCGAGAAGAGGTTTATGACGCATAGTGAATCATACCGGCATTAACAGAGCAAAAACTATCATGTATTTCTTTACAACGACGATTGATTATTGTTATTTATTCAATTCCCACAGTATCCTAACTACAATTAAACACATAACACCATATTCCTGAAGCAATGGCTCGTGAAATCAGTCTCTGGCCATGGCTGGATTGACATCTGATACTTGAGCTTTTGAGGGAGTGTGCCTATTCTTCCCGTTCAATCAAATCTATCCTAAGTACAGCAACATGACAGCCCTTTGTTTAATCTGGGGTCTTCCCTAAAACTTTAAATTGTGATTTAAGGTATTAAAAGTGGCGAAAGTATTGTTCGTCTCCAAGCATTATTGTTTATATTTTAGCCGTTTTGATAGCCTCGTATGTCACGCATTTAGTTTTTCTGTATATTCTGCTATGTACTGGTTAATTGGGCGTAATAAATTTCGCGAGTCATGACGTAACCTTATGTAAACATATCTGGAGCTCTGTTTAAACCCGAATGATATTGTTACGCAGTTAGGTATTAGTTATTAATCGGAATATTGACCAGTCATAATTTGGAACAAAAATTTGCTTTCGTTACATCAGAGTTTGAGTGGGATTAGGTCTAATCAAACGAAACACTGCGAGGGGTATGCATAACACGGACCCAAATGATCTCATATAAATCGAAGCGGGCAAGTCGTTACTAAGCAGGCATTTTCCACGTTAAAACGAAGGGGCTACAAAAAACAGCCAATCAAACAGACAGGCTTACATAATGGCGCTACACTTTTGTGGGTATATTATGTTTAATTACCCATACTTGTATAAAATTATCTTATTTGTTAGATGTTGCACGCATTAACAAACAAAACCGGAGCTTAAGGACCGACGGACTGATGGACCGATGGAGTCCATTTCAACATATCGTCTAAAACTTGCTTCAGAGCCAGATGAAAATGAGGTGGGTAAATAAATCAATCATCTTACCTGATCGGTAAACGACCATCCCTTTTCTCCGAGAAACCAATCAACGACTGTTAACGGGATGGCGTCTTCTAGGCCTTTCAAGGCCCGAACCATAAGAGTTCTACAAGCCCAGGGGCAGGCTAATGACACATACAAATGATATCTTCCTGCTTCCGCTTCAAAGCCGGACGAACCATCAGCTGTTCACAGACAGAAAACTATTGTTATTAATTTATAAAGTGGCCTTTTCGAGAGATAACCAATAGATCTTATTCAAGAATATTGCAAATATTGGGGCTTAAATTATTAGACTTTCTAAATTAATATGCATATTCAAATATTAGTATATTAATGGCGACTTGCATAAACTTATAAACTGTCGCTTTTTTAAAATACGTGACACTACTTTATTGGAAATTCACAATGTTTAAAATTCATGAAGCAGGTCACTTCACTTCGTTTTCCAGCACGTGCCAGGGCTTGAATAATAATATAGCTCAGTCGACCTTGGACTTTTCTTATCACAATTAAAACATATATTAAGGGCAATACAAACATGATTATAAAAATGGACCCGTGGTTGTGCATGTCTCAATCGGTATTAATACAAACTAAAATTAAAATGTGTACACCATGAGAAGTACTGGTATGTAAAGACACCGCTCGTGGCATTTATAATCAATGACCGTTTAACGTGGCACACAATACCGGTGTAGATATCGCACGAGCAATTTTATAACATGGCGGAACTAAAATAAAGTACATGGACATACAGTACGTAGGCTGTATCAAACAACGTAGCAATCAGCTTTTCTTACCTGTTATTTGATGGCGAAAACTGGACTCTTTTCTCTGAAAAGCACCTTTAGAATCTACCGACGACAGCCATGATTGCTTCTTGTCGCTGGTGGTAGACATGGTCGAGTATAGATGTTTTTGTTGAACAGCGAATAGCTTTAAAAGGGTTATAAACCTACAGCGCTGTAAATAATAAACTAACATAAACAAACCTACTTTGTGAACTTTAATAGCACTGCTTGCATAAACAAAACCTGTTCATGCGCGGAGTCATTTTATTCTGTTGTAATTCACCCATTTTAGCTCAGTACTAGGAAAATCGTGTTCAACGAACCGACCATCTCACATTATAACGATTAGTCAACATAATTAATAATTAAAACGAGCAGTCCCATATATCAAAGACTAACTGTTGATAAAATTAGTGGGGTTAAGTATATAAATTAATTGCAAAAATATGTAGTAAATACTCAAATACCCCAAATAATACACGGTTCACTTTCATGAATGACTTGATAATGGTGGCTCAGTGAATACAATGTCACGGGTTCAATCTCGGTGTTGGCCGAGAGACTTTTGGCAAGCGGAATTTTCCCATCCGTATCGTATCAAGCAGGGTAAAAAGTTTACAAGCATAAAGGTCCGTTCATACTACATCCGTATCCGTATCTGTAAATACGTGCGTGAATACGTACTGGTATACTTTAGTTACTTTTAGAGAAAGGGTTGAAATAGAATCCGGCACGTATTGCGCACAAAAACAACTGCGTCCGTTAAGCCGGATTGCTCCCAGAGCGTATTTTTGTAAAGTGCGTCCGGCATTTCGGCTAGTGAGCCGAGCTTTAGCCAATCAGCGGGTACTTTCCCCTTATTACACTATCTCCCCAAATAGGAACTCAATCTCTGACAGATAATTCAGCCTTGAAAGCCGGACGTTTTCGCGTTTTCTATTTGAACGGCAAAACGCGGATACGGATGCGGGTGCGGATACGGATGCGGGTGCAGATACGGATGCGGATACGTTTATGGATACGGATGTAGTATGAACCGAGCTTAATTCAACATAAAATTCAAAAATAACATGTCATTCATTCTCTTATAGTCTCAACCCACCCAGTTCAGTCTGTCCAAGACTGCTGGAAAACTGTCCCTGATATCCGATGATATCTAGTTATTAGTTAACCGATTTTAATTATGCCCAATGACATAATAAATAGCCAAATATGGATATGTAACTTTGACATCATATCTGGTAAATTTTCACTGGCTTGTTTTGTTAACGTATGGGTCTTTTTAATATATAAAAAATATCATCTATTCCCGAAGTATTACGCGATATCTATCTAATAAAACCTTTTTACGAATACGAAGGCAATATTAGGTCGAGGCCATAAGATTGCTACACATTTGTCATTCTTCCAGTGGCGGATTAAGGGGGTGCCTAGACTAGGTTGACCTTTTAGTGGCCCCCAATATTTACGAAACCCCGGAAAAAATAATTTTTTAGCTATGGATTATAGAGCAGGAGGAGTGTATCTCTATACTGAGATATTATTTGATGCTACTGTGTGCAAAATTAAAGTTTGGGGCTTATGCATCTGTCTCTAAATTTGTTAAGATTAATATTCGTATGAAATACAAATTCAAAAGCTTCACAGTTAAAAAGAAAACATTTTTAATGGTGATTCGTAATCCCACTAACTGTGGAATGTCGATTTGTTCTACCGTGATACACAAATCATGGTCCCTTAAAGAAGCTAAATCGCTAATATTTGGGACCTAGAAATTGACACAAATGGGTCGCAACACATAATATATAATGTAATATGAATGTATTTAAACTGATTTACTCTAATTTCAAATCAGTTAGAAGTCAGAAGTCTTAATGGTAAAATGTTTATTTTTTCTTAAATATTGGATATCAGAAGCCCATCTTTTTCCGGTAAGATCACAACATCAAAGGTTGATTTAAATTGACAAAATTAATGTTTTCAATGTCGAAGACTTTGAATGATACTGGGTTAGAGACTTAGCTACTTTAAACCAACTGTCGTAAATAAATCATCCAAATCAGATAAACATGTATCATATTGACGAGTAACAAATCGACAAGTTTTGTTGTGAACGTTTAAATTCCATTTCTATGTGTCCGTAAAGAAGGGAACCGTGGTGTCTAAATGAGTATGACGCTGGCTCACTAAAAATAGAGAAAAGCTCGTATTCAACCACGAAAATATTATGTAACTCCGTAATGTATATTTTTCACTATATCGTCTGATTCCCTTCGCTCGGTCTTGAAATATACATTATTAAGTTTCTAAAAATCCCTTACGGTGGTCGTCCAAGGAAAAAGCCCGAAAAAATATAGCTAAAGACGCGAAGGCTACTCGCTAGAACACATCCTCGGTGCCAATACTTGATATGGGGAATTTTGGATTAGGCGAAGACTTGGATTGTCCTATAAACCTCACACTGTTAGAAATGTATGTATGTACAGTTAAGTAGTACAAGTAGTTTTTGTACCTTAATTATTGTCGGTATAATTTCCACAATAGTACTTTTACGAAGCCTGGTGTATTTTTCCGGAGTTTCGTGTATGTTTACAGAGTTTCGCGACTTTTTTTTACAATAAACGACGATGAAATCAAAAACTCATTCAAAATCAGTACAAATACATTCTTACATATGTAATATTTCCAAATTGAACTGAAAATAAATAAGCAAGCATGTAATTTTACAGATCTTACGTTTATTCACATTATTGTGTAAATTCACTTCTAGATTAGAAATACGTGTATAAGTAAAATTACAGCAGTTAAATCATTTGTTTTTACCTTAAAATGTTCGGAATATTTACCAAAATGATGTATATTTACCAAGTTTCATTCTTTTTCACAATAAACTTTGATGAAATCAAAGGCACATTCAAAATTCGGTAAAATACATTCTTACATGTAATATTTCTATATTGAACTAAAAATAACAAAGCCAGCATGTAATTTTACAGATTTAAGCTTAGTCACATTATTTTGTAAATCTACTTATGTTAGCGAAATCGATATATTTACTGTCACTTATTTTATTTAGTATTCCATAGCAACGAACTATTCCTAATAATTATCTTCTTATAGTATTCATTCCAATTTATTAACCATAATATGGACAATCACATTTTGTGAAATTTGGTATATTGCATGTCATGTATAGGTTGTATTATTATCAATCGTACATTAATCAGATTGTAAGTATATTCATAAACGTATATTAAAAAAAATGTTTTGACTTACTAGCCGTAGGCTGTATTATCTCGCAATCAAGCTCGCTTGAAGACGGTTAATTAAACCGATTGGTCAGTGTTAGCTGGACTGTCTCTAAAGCAGAGTTTCAATGCCTGCAAGTAGACAGTACCACAAGCTTACACCTGGAACCACCGCAATCACTGACGAGCAGCGGTTTCAAGCTGTGTTACCTTTACCTTTCGGATGACAATTTGCTATCGTGTACAAAACAGGATTAGTCTTTAAATGTCTCGTATTCAGTTGAGATTTTATTTTTCTTTCACTTTAAAATAATATTATTACGGTGAATTTGTTGGTTAACTGAAACAAAAACGGTAAACAGAAGTTAGTCATTGTATTTTTTAACATTTGTCTGTAATTTTTCATTTACGGCTTTTAGGTAAATTTACATTTGAAAGTTAAAAGACAAACTTACTGTAATCTTCCATTTACTGTATTGCGATGAATTTACAGTCCCAAGCTAAGAAATAATATCATAATTATTTTCCATTTACTCTTTTCAGGTAAAGTTACACACAAAGTCAAAATATAGAAACTCTGTAACTAAACTAAATGATAAATCGCATATGTTCGAAAAAATATCTTCGGTTCCAAAACGTTCGAAAAAATATCTTCGGTTCCAAAACTGATTAATCTACTGTAAGAAATGGAAATATCAGTTGTCATATACATGTATATAAGCCAGTGTGTGTGTGTGGAGGGGGAGGGGGTATTGCCCGCTTATGAATCAGGTGCTGATATACGAGTATGTTCACTTGTTTTGTTCGTGGCCTGTATCAATAAAACAATAGCGACCATGGTAATGAACAAAAGTGACCATATGCTTATGCGCTTGTTTTGAAACTTCTATGTCTTTTGAGGTAGGATTGACATGATATACACACCCCTACAGTACAATGATCTTGTATTACACTATATAATTCACCAACCGTGTAATAATTGAGTTCTGAATAAAAAAACAGGTATAATCCTAGGTTTAGAACCTAAAGTACTTGTACTTGATTTGACTTGATCATAATCTTCTGGTTACATATCTAATATCACGCTTTCTCTTTCTGTTTCACGAACGTTCAGTGTAGACGATATAATCTATAGGTTGACGATATATTATGTATGTAAAGAGGAACTGGCGAAAACAAAAATACTCTACTTAGAAGTTTCAGTGATAATGGCAGATGGACCATGTCGTCCTAGCCAGCGTACAACCTCATTATCCATCAACCATTTCTAGATCGGAGAGAGGACTGCAACTCAGGTCAGTGAACACCTACTTGCCCCCACACCCCCACCCTCATACGGTCCTGGTTAGGTTACTCTTTTATCACGTTGGTTAAGTTACTTTTTTATCACGTGCTCCCAGGAGCGACACGTTAGGTCGGGGCGAAATTGTACGGAAAGGTACCAATAGGCAGTCTCACAAGGAACATCATCTAGTCGTTTGGATGTAACAAAAAAAATCGAGATCGCGTGTACATGTTGGCGTGCACGTAAACGAACCCTTGATAGTTGGAATTCAATGAAGAATAGGCGAAGGCATGTTAGTCTTCATTAGCCCCGGTTGGTTCAAAAAGCAGGACGTTAAACGCCATTGCATTTCCTGTCAGTATCAGGTGTTCATAGAAGAATAATCATACTCTGCTCCGCGGGCGGCATCCAAAGCAACAATATACTGAGTGCCAGAAAATAACTTTCAGGCGATTCGCAAGCGCCGAAGGTGCGGAAAACTCATGACTGGGGTCTTTGTTATTGGACCTACCCCAGATCATTTGGAAAATGAAGCACTGTAAATTCCGTTTCCAACTATTTCGGGGCCCAGATGCCATAAATTGAACCAGAGCAGGAATCCCCTACCCGAATCCGCGCCTGTAATCACAGATCTATTGTATATCTCAATGATCTCTTCTAGGTAGCGGTCATAAACTATTTTGAAAACAGATTTGAGTTTCGATGATCTATAGCCTTGTCTGATCGAATCCGACACCGACGGGATAAAATCACATTTTCTAAAAACATCAAAGTAATATAATATTGAGTAAATCTTATTATAAATGATATTGGCGAATATACGACGTTTTGGGCCACGGATGTTTTTTTTTTAAAACAAACACTAACCCTGATCAGTTAAAAACTGGTTTGCTACTTGTTGTCTAACGTCTGCTTCCACGGTAGTAAGATTGCAGACAAATGTTAGCCCCTTTCGTTCGTTCGTTCGGGTTAACGCCTGCTTCCGCCGAGTACAACCACAGACAAAGGAGTTAGCTTCTATTTGCAGCAGTTATTTAAGCTCTTAGGAGGGTGGGTGGCTTATAATAATGGCTTAACCCGTACACTCGAGAACACAAGGCCTGTCATTGAGTTAAGTGGCATGGTTTCGATCCTAAGCTTGTACATGACAAGCAATATGGTCGCCTTCCCAACCTGGTGTTTTTTTCCGGATCCTCTAGTCTCCTCTGACTGTTAAAGGAGCTAAATCGCTAATATCTGGGACCTAGACATTGACACAAATGGGTCGCAACACATACAATAATATGAAGTATATAAATTGATTTACATTCAATCGTTTATGTTTTTACTGTAATTTCTAATCAGTTATGTTCGGCAAAATACGCCAGAAGTCTCAATCGAATGACAATCTCTAGCGTCTGGTTATTCCAGTCTACATCGATAGCATTTACTGCGCATGCTCTCCATATAAGAATATGTCGTCACCATTTGACATGTCTCGTTCTTCGAGTCCCTTGTTACAAATGGCACTGAAACGCAAGTTGGTACACGATTCGTGTACAAATGGTGTACCAATGCTAAAATGTTTATTCTGTCTTAAAAATTGGATATCAGAAACACACTTTTTCCCGGTAAGATCACAACATCAGTGTTGATTTAAATTGGCAAATAATTAGTGTTTTCGAATACGGTGGATGATATTGAGTTAGAGACTTAGCTACTTTAAAGACCCCAACGCCCAAGTGAATTGCTGAAAAAGAGTTATATTATGTTAGTATCGGAATTGTTGTTTGTGTCTTGTGTCTTCTTTGTATATATACTGATGTTCAAAAGAAAGTATACACACTAAAAGTATGACTAAGTTTGGTTTAGATTAAAAACAATTGATAAAGCATTACTGAGTTTGTCTCTTGCGTCCAAACTCAATATTTGTAAGCAAAATAAAAATGTGAAACAAATTGACATTCTACCAATACCGTATACCATGGAAAACGACTTTGGTTGATGCAGCACAAAATGCACAGTGTATACTTTCTTTTAGACATTAGTATATTTAAACCCTATGGACCAGATGTCGGAAGTTAATCAACGGATATTGACATAGTAATTAATACAACTAGATGAGAATCATTGTCGTCATTGTTAAATTTTCTATGATAAAATTCTTGTTCTGCGATAAGTAAGGTGTCTAGAACAAACTATGTCTACTACTACTTTAAATAATTAATATAAGATATTATATCTTATTCAAATATTCAGTTATAAATTATATTGACACAGTAACCGAAGTGTAATCATTGTTATAATACGACTATCAAAGTACTTTTGTCAGTATTATTAAACTTTCTATATGAACAATTAACTAAATATAAACCCCTCTGTACTGATCTTTGTTCGTATTGACAAAAGGCTGATTATGTCGAGATTTGAAGGAGTTGTCAAGTTATAAATGATCTCAGTGAATTAGCTTATCGTTCTTATTATTTACACGCTATTCATATACATACACCCTTTTTTACTTTACTTTCATAAACGGCCACCATTGTTAGTGCTAGCAACGCTTCTTAGCAACCCGTTCGCTCTCTCTGATAGTCAAGCTCAGACGTATATGATCGACCAGTTCGCCCTTTCTTTAGTTAATGAATTAATAAGTTGGGAGTTTTCTGTTAAATTGTTGAGAATGTTCTAGTTGTGATATTACTGTTATTTATTTACTGTTTTGTAAAGGAAAATGATTTAAATTAAGAGGTTACTGACTAAGAGAAAGGTGAGTTAATTTATAAATATTATAGTTATCTTCTCGGGTTTCAGTCACAAATTTATTGAACTGTGTTTAATTTCAATGAGATTTATTTATTGTATGTCAAAGAATAATGTGATAATATTGTCATGAAATGAATTGAAATGTAATGGGCTTTAACGTTAATTGCCATGACGTGCTTACATCCTTTTATTGGGGTGGTCTACGCTATAGGCAGCAAAATGGGTCATGCACAAGACAAAGTGTGTTTACCCTTTCTGGAAAATTGAGAGTTTTTGGTGTATTTTTTTTTTAAAAAACCCCAAACAATTGTCGATTTCCACAGATGTTATATGTTTATTTGTTTTTGGGATGACAGTTTTATTTAGGTACCGATATCGGTGGCTAAAGTCAACGTTGAGATATAACAGATTTCGTGTTCCCTTGCCAACACAATAAGCCTAACTGTGAAACTATAATGAATAAAAAGCCTAACTTCCGCGTAATCCCCCCACACACACCCCCCCCTCTCTCTCTTTCTCTCTCTCTCTCTGCCGCTCTCTCAAAAATCATATATAGTATTGGTCTTGCTTGACCATTAAGCGAAGAAACGCGAAATGAAATGAACCGGGCAAATAATCAACTTTATTTATACTTTATTTTTTCTTAGAGGTTTGACTCAGTTATACGGATTACCAATTTATCAGCATTTTATTATGTGTCTATATTGATCATTCGGGTTAATAAGCTAATATAAGTATATTAGAAACTTTAAGTTTGGCACGTACAATACGTAGACTTATTATTTACCAGCACGTACTAAATAGATATACATCAACACAGACCGGCTCTTGCGAGTTTTAATCTCACCGATAATTGATTGGTGATTACTTGTTAATCTTTTCTGGCTTCACACCCATTGTGTTTTAATCTCACCGATAATTGGATGCTTCACACCCACCGTTTGAAGTACTGATTATACGGTGTCGTTTCAATGGAAATTATGTGACGGGACGGCTGATTAATATCGGAATCCGGAACATACAGAATTCGGATTTACCAGCGATTTTTTGGCTGAAGTAATAAGGAAATAAATCGGGACATGAAAATCATACCGGATGTCACAGCAATCCGGAGTGATTAGAGATCGGATGTGACAGAGTCCACTGTATATTTATGGAAAAGTATTTGATTCGTGACCCAGTCAACACACTATTAAACGGAATAACCACAAGCATACTGCTTATAGCCACAGTGGCTTAGTGAGTAAGGCGCTGACGCACTTCCAGGAGGTCCCGGATTCGATCCAGGTGTTGTCCAAGAAAGTTTCTCGGGTGATTTCCCCATGTCAGTGATGCAGGACTGAGAGTCTGACAAGGAACAGCATCTAGTCGTTCGGATGGGGCGAAAAGCGGCACTCGTCTCTTTTAAAAGAACCTTTGACAGTTGGAATTCGAGTAGTACAGTGTGGCGTATTATCCCGGGTGGTGCTGAATAGAAGGCCTTTCAACTCCATTTCATTTCATAAACTGCTACTACTTACTACTTCAGTTCTACTGCTACCTAATACTACAACTACCGCTACTACTACTACTACTAAGTAGGGTAATACGCACGTGTTTCCTCTGCAGTACTCGAACCACTTAGAATTAGATAAGACTGTTGGGAATGTTAAATCCTATAAATATTAAATCTTAACGCGAAAAGTAATCTTATATTAACCGATTAATCGAGACAAACTGATTATTAACAAACAGGGTTTAGCCCACATAATTTTTCGTTGGCTATTTGTGACAAAGTGTTAAATAATTTTCATCAATTCAACTGTACGAAGAATGTATTCGCTGTTTTGGAATTAAAGAATTAATTGATCCCACGTGTCATTGACAAACTACATGTGATCTGTGTATAACATGGCCATTGTCTTAAAATGAAATACGTATACGGTCAGCTATACATACAATAACGTGGTAAATAAACAATTCCATATACTCTTCAAAAAACAGAAACGCATAGTTGCATTTCGTCGTCGGTGTACCCTCGCTCTACCATAGTCTCGTTGCAACAGGTACCACGACTCGTCGCTGACCCAAACTGTTCTCCGGCGTTGCTGTAGCCATACCCTGTGTGTCTGAACCCATTGAAGTGGGATTTGACGGTGTCGGCGTATTTCGAAACAGAAGCTCTGGCTCGTAATCCGGTTACACGTAGGCGTTTACGGACTGTCTGGTCTGAGATGCTACTTGTCTGAGATCCTGAGAATTGCTTCTGCAAAAGAGGTCGCTGCTGTGAACCGTTTCCGCAAATGACACATTAGGGTGTGACGATCCATGGCAGGCGAGACCACTCTTATTTGGCCTGTGCTTGGGCTGTCGCTACCTATCCCAAAGGCGAGAGAAAATGAAATGAAATGAAATGGGGTTTAACGTCCTACTGTTCTGCTCCGAACTGGGCTAATGAAGACGGGCATACGCCATACAGTGTGCACTATCGCCCACTCTTGTATCGAATTCCAACTGCCAAGGGATCTTTTACGTGCATTCCAATGTATACACGGGACCTCGGTTTTCGTATCATCCGAAGGACTAGACAGCTGGTCCTTGTCAGGCCCTCCGTCCTGCATCACTGACAAGGGGGAACCACGCCGGAAAATCTGAATGAACTTTCTCGGCCAATGCAGGGATCGAACACCCGACCTCCAGGCTAGCGAGCCAGCGTCTTAGCCACTTAGCCACGTGATCCCCCCAAAGGCGAGAGATGGTACCATTGAGAACAATGCAGCCTGGCTACATCTTTCTGGGATTCACGTGCTTGTAATCGACCGATAGCGTTGTTGCGTTGGCCTTCGTTCGGATGTGGCATCACTAATTGGCCTGGCGAGTGTTTACATGTGCAACTGATTTTGAAACTGAGAACCCCGAGATTTTAAAGGCCTTAGATTTGTGTTTGTATCTTTGTGCAATCAAGCGAAAACAAATTTTGGCAAAAAGTATGACCAGTCACAGATAAAACCAATCATGAGTTTCTTTTATCCTTATAATGACATTAAAATCAAGTAAGATTTATTGAAACAACAATCCCGTTATAAAGAAAATGATGACAAATGGGCTATGCGTTTCTTATTTTGAAAAGTATATATACATGTATGTTGATGACTTCGTGTTGTTAAGATTCAAATTCCTTAAAAGAAGTCCTTTTTTCGTTCGTATCTATTTTCCCTAATTGTTGGGCTGTATAACAAAGAGTTTACTGGCCCTATTTCATGTTATTAATAAAGGTCTTATCAATATGCTGATCTTCTGTTGTCTGTAGTGTTACATATTATAATACACTTATTATCAAGATTAAAAGTCAAATTAATATATAAAGATTAAAAGTTAAATTAATATGTCAAGATTGGAATTCAAATTCAGATTCAAATGTCAAAGATTAAAAGTCGATTGATTGTCAAATTAAAATGACAAAGATTAAAAGTAAAATTAAAATGTCAAAGATTAAAAGTCAAATTAAATATCAAATTAAAATATCAAGAGTGAAAGTCAAATTAAAATATCAAGATTGAAAGTCAAATCAAAATGTCAAAGTTAAATTACCAACATATCAAAAGTAAATTTAAAATGAATAGTGATGGATTAAATTTAGACATATTCTATATTACTAAACTAGTTCGTTGTCCCGCGAAGAGTTATTACCTCGGCCCCATAGCTTTTTGGTATGGTACACTAGGCATTATATGTACACTCTGTCCGGGTTGGATATGAGACAAATTGAAACATTTTCATTCTTTAAAAGGCTTTGAACGGAGCTCGGTAAGGGACCCAAAATAAAAACGAATATGCATAGAGGGCGCTGTAGTTACTTGTAAATGACCAGTGCGAAATAAAAGGGTCGTGGTAGTTCCACATCATTAAATCATTAAAGTAAGTCCAGAATGTTCGACAATCATATTACACTGTCGTCTAATTATTTACATGCCCATTACGTTAGTAGTTATCATTGTTGATGATTGATGGGCTTCGACGGGGAAAGAGAAAGTTATTCAATATGTGGCCATTGATTATTGTTCAGTATTCATAAGATTAATATCATCCAGTCATCAAACATAGTCCGTGTTCCTACACAATCCTTTTCTTAAAAAAATACATTTTATTAACCTTTGCGGATTATTTGATGGAGTTCACCACGTTTTAGGACACCAGACCGATTAGGTACTAGATCTGACCATGTGCAGGTCATTTCCATACGTAAAATTAACCTAACGGACATTCTAGGTTATTCTAGACTTCTGGCAAGCGGAATTGTTCCCATCCGTATAAGGTATCCGTATCGTTTACGTCATACGTTGCGTCAATGTAGTTTTAGAGTTTTGACAGATGTTCGCGTTGCGTACGTATTCATCGCTGGGCTGAACTTAGTTCTATTACAGCATGATAATGACAGATATCTACCAGTTCACCACCAGTACAGTCAAGTGCCTATACCTACAATTCCCCAGAGGGAGCGAAGTCGCTCGACAGTCGCTGAGCTAATAAAAAAAATTAATGGCCAGTCTTATTAAAAAATCGTAGACTTCGACTCAACAGCAGTTTTTGGTTTCACTAATGTATCATTTCAGAATGTTTATATCCCTCTTTACCATAGAATAAAATTATTTAGAACGTAGATCAACCAGAATGCAGACAGGAAAAGTATGAAAATTCCGAGAAAACCCCATCAAAAATAATGATTAAATTCCAGTCTTTATCATGGTTAAAATCACATCAAATATACACCTTCGTATATGATACAAACATTTTGGCGTCTAAAAGTAGCAAAAAAGACGGTAAAAAAGACGACAATGTTATACGGACCTTTTCCGTATGAAAGCTGTTCGATACGTGCTGCCGTATCCGTGTGGCGTATCACGTATGAGAAATACACACGTACATTGATGACTTCACACGCAAAATCCATACGGATACGCGATGCTGACCAGGAATTTATGCTTGACAAAAGTCTCTAATGTTAGCGGTAGGAATACCTGTACATACCCCCTAAAGGTCCGTTCATACTATATCCATATCCGTATCTGTAAATACGTGCGTGAACACGTACTGGTATACTTTAGTCATTCTTAGAGAAAGGGTTCAAATAGAATCCGGCACGTATTGCGCACAAAAACAACTGCGTCCGTTAAGCCGGATTGATTGCTCCCAGGGCGTATTTTTGTAATGTGCGTCCGGCATTTCGGCTAGTGAGCCGAGCTTTAGCCAATCAGCGAGTACTTTCCCCTTATTACATCATCTCCCCAAATAGAAACTCAATCTCTGACAGACAATTCAGTCTAGAAAGCCGGACGTTTTTGCGTTTTCTATTTGAACGGCAAAACGCGGATACGGGTGCGGGTACGTTTATGGATACGGATGTAGTATGAACCGAGCTTTACTCTAACATGGTCTCTATATTGGGGTGCATGGGGATCTCCAACTCGCAAACGGACCGAGAAGTGAACTCTTACCACCATTTTGGTGTGAACATTAGAAAAAAAACCGCAACGAAATTGTACATGTATTATCGAATTTTAATTAGAAAGCATTGTAACCTAAACATGGTAAATCCCTTCCAATTGGTTTGATAAACAACAAAATGAATGGTTAAACCTTTGATATATTTAATGTCAGAGTTGGTCAGATAGCAAATCCTGAACGCTTCAGCTCAAATGCAATGTGCCATAAATGTGCTCAATCGCTAAATGTCAGTCAAGGATTTAATTCAATAAGCTTGGAACTGTTATAAAACCATAATCCGTATTGACTGAATTATAATGAACATTGCGTAGACCAACACCTAGATTTAAGATTTAAAGCTCTCCATTTATCGATTTCCTATCAGAGATAAACAGTTAAATATCGAATCTTATTTTATGATCAGTAGTGGAATACCGCGTTTTATCAGTGAAATAAAAGTGTTTTTCCACTGGCTAGTTGTTTTTACCTAAAATGATTGTCAAATCATAAAATAAATAGAACATTTGTCGTTTTGTCGGTAATAACATATTTTATTTCATCTCTAAGCAAGAAAACTTTTATATTTTCACTCCTGCTACGCATTCGTGAAAATATAAGTTTTCTTGCTTCTCGATGAAATAAAATATGTTATTCACTCTAAAACGACAAATATCCTCTATATAGCTACCAACACCGAAAACAGAAAGTAGCATATTATAGCCTGCCTTGTGTACGCCTCCCCCAATAGATAGTTATTTGGTTTATGGTATAACCCATTCTATGTTAATTAGATCTTAATTATCACAGATATGAAGTATATAGGGTTGTTTTTTTTATTATATTGTGAAATCTTCCATGAACAAAGGTCTTCAAATGCGCTATTAAAACATTTTAGATAAATACAGTAATAAAAATGCAGATATTCGTCGCGGGTGTCTGTTGCGTTAACTGGCAACTCTTTTTGAAAGTGTGCAACTGTAAAATTAGATATTGATTGACGCGTAGTGTATATGGATAAGCACGTAGACGTACTATATAAGGAAATGTCATAGTTCTTTGCGATCAATATCAAGTAATATAGTTCCGTGGTTCTTGTCAAAGCCAATTAAATCAGAATATATATTGTGGATTGTCATAGGCGGGAGTCAGAAACCCATATATATTTCTGAAGATTGTTTCCATCGTTCAAAATGAAAAGAAATGAACGGATCCTCGGTTTTTCGTCCCATGCAACGAGTCGGGGTCATAACAATACTATTTGGCAAGAATTGGCGTATTTTGGGGTATTATATATAGTAATTGGAGAAATTAGCACAGGTACAATTTTAAGGATACACAATTACTAAGTTTAAGACTAAGCAACCTTGTGTACCTTGTGTTAATATCTTAAATTACTAAATGACAATCAAAGAAGATAATTAGAGAAATGTTTGAGCAATTTACATAAATAAGCCCGTAGGCAAAAATTTGGGGTTTAAGGGTAGTTTGAGTCTGGTGACGTTATACTATCACTTCCGGTTATACCCCTTCCTGTTCAGGGTTCTACCTATGCTAATCTGGGTAATCGACTAACGTATTATTAAGTGTGGTTTAATGGCCGAGAGCGAGACATTAAGTAATATTTTGAAACAACACGAGTGGACACGTACGAGTCACGAGCTGTTGTTTCAATATATTATGCAATGTCTTAAGCTCGAGACCATTAAACAACTTAAAATACAGACACTCGCACGTGCATTGCAATGAAATACGTCACACGGGTCAAAACATTTGACTAGTATAAATCATGTACGCTTGGCACATTGCCTGTACCTTTACTTGAAATAATGATACGCCAACATCAAAGGATGACGTCACATCTGTATTTTAAATCAGGATATAAGATTGAACGACGATAAAACCGAATCTCTTTTAGTAGGCCCATCAAAACAACTCAAGTTACTACCTGATCTTAAAATCACCATTGGTAATTCAAAAATGTTCGAAACCTTGGAGTGATATTTGATCCTTCTCTGACGATGGACACTCAGGTTGATATGATATGCCGTACATGCTACTATCATCTACGCTGTATATGCAACATCAGATTCTATCTCACTGCTGACGTGTGTAAACTACTTGTGAGATCAATGATTTTATTCAGGATTGATAATTGTAATAGTCTACTCTCTGGAATCCCACAAGCACTTCTAGCCAAGATCCAGAAAGTTCTTAATACTTCAGCCTGAATAGTGACAAGGACACATAAATTTGATCACATCCAGAATGTGCTAGCTTCGTTACACTGGTTACCTGCTAACATTAGTGTATAAATATCGCAATAACGCAGCCCCTCAATATTTATCTGAACTATGTGACAACGACCCTATTAGATCACTTCGCTCTAAAAATAAACATTTACTAGTTGTTCCAAGATATAATTTAAAGTCATATGGGTATAGGTCTTTCAGTTCAGCTGGTCCTAGATTATGGAACAAACTTACACAACAGACTTTTAATCAATTTAAATCCGCACTGTTTCGACAGTTTTACCAGTAGAGCCATTAATTCAGATTAATAAAAACGTTTTGAGCATGTGTCAACATGGAGAAGACGCTATATAAAACCTCATTATTATTATTATAAGACAGAACTTGCTCATTTTTTTTTTAATTAGTTTTGAGTGTCTCATGTATACTCTTGGCTGTGGTCTTGAGTCTTCGGTTTATAAATTTGAGGGAGCCGTGATGGGTCAGAGAATCCCGGATTTGGACCTGGTGATAAAGTTCAATTTTAATGATTGTCTTTTTTTAATACAATGTTAAGTAACAACACAACGAGGATATCAATACAATAGTTCTAATCAACATTACAATTTGAATACATAACACAAATCTGGAGTGTAACTTGGGACGAGTGCTACCCAGAATAGAAACGACCCAATCACCCCCTTCAAGTTTGCAATCAAACGTCAATTGCTCCTTCATATAAGTGTGTGCATGTGCTTGTATTTTATATCTGAAAGAGATAATTGCGGTCATGTATTTATGAAAGGGTTATTTATTACTGATAATGTCGCTAGGTTTATTTTGTTGTATAAATAGTCATAAATAATATTATTGCATAGTTTAAAAAGACAAACGATTGGTCTATAGTGAAATGACATCATCTGTTCTGTAGAGCACCGGATCTAGTGGGACAAACGCTCTAAGGATAAATGTTATCATCCGATATGCATGTTATTGAGAGGTCTATGCATTATTTAAATTACTGAAGTAAAGAAGCCGATGAATGAATAAATGAAATGGAGTTTTATGGCACATCAGCTCCAACCGGGATATATTGCGCCAAACATATTGTGATTACTTTGAGACAGATTTTCCGTTAATTACTACCAGCGTTGTGACTCTAAAGAGTTTGCTTTTTATAAGCCTAAAGATTCACAATGAGACAACCTTTGTGAACTACTCGGATGATTTGACTGTTTGTTCCGTTGCCTTGCAAACTTGATTTAATATGGAATTCTTCTTTACGGAGATTCCCAAGCACCGGTTCGTCTGCTTTGGAACACTAGTTATCTCCCCTATGTTAATAGCAACACTCCCATGCTGGCATGGCCCATGGTTCAATTTACACTGTGCTGTATTTATACTGGGTATAGTTTTTGAACACCCTTGAGTGTTTGTAATCACTCTAAAATAGAAAAAAAATTAACATGGTTTTAACACTCTACATAATCATAATATCCCTGTCAGTGTCAAACATATATCCTGGTTTAGAAATTCCAGCAACAATTCCGATCCCACCCCACCCCACCCACCCTCTGTAGCGAAATAAATAGTTTGAGGCTACGTTATTTGTAATACAGTTCTTACCAACTTATAAAACGGTTATTACTTTTCTTCTGTCTAAAATATTTAAAGTAACATATTTATTTTCATTGTATATTTGCAGACAGACCAGTTAAAATGACGGCGATCAAGAATTTTCGTATGCGTATCGATTTGGAAGATCCGTTATATTATGGAATGAGAAAACTAAAAATCCGTGGACGGGATCTGAAAAATATTTCGGATGCTATATTTCATTTGATGGAATTGGAGGTGTTGGATTTAAGTCCGGAACGAGAGTCGTGTTTGGATTATAAACTACCGGGAATACCTTCTGGAATCGGGAGACTGGTTAATCTCCGAGTTTTGATGGTCGATACGAATGATCTGACTGACTTGCCGCCAGAAATTGCCTTGTTACGAAACCTCGAACGCGTTGCTCTAAGCAACAACAAACTCTCCAAACTACCCAACGAATTTGTGAATCTTCGAAACCTAAGAAGCGTCCATCTTGCTAATAACGACTTTTATGAATTCCCATCCCAACTTCTGAAACTGCAAGATTTGGAATTTCTGGATTTGAGTGACAATCATATTACAGTTTTACCCGAAAACATCGACAACTTGAAAAAACTAGAAACGTTGCTACTTTTTATCAACGAATTGTCCAAATTACCAGAATCTCTGTGCAAACTGACTGAACTGAGGTGTCTTTGGGTTGGAAACAACAGAATTCGACAACTTCCAAGGGGTTTCCCCAAATTGGTTCATCTGGATTGGGGATACCGTTATACGTCATCAGCCTTAGATGGGAATCCACTCTGTCATCCACCAATAGAAATCTGTAGAATGGGCCTAGAAGCCATAGATAGATATATGACGACATATGATAAAAAGAAAAAAAGTCCAAGAAAATAATTTTTGAATGTCAGTGGTTTACTGTAAACAATCAAGCACGCCGTTGGGAATATTATGATGTCTATTAAAATATATTTATTCCCAGAGTTGGATATTAACCAATTGTTATTTATTTCTTTCAGTTATTTTCCTAATGCTTTAATCATTGATGCAGAATATAAACTCTTTTATTCTAATATACTAGTGAATGACCCATTCCCAAACAACCATTCGTCTTCTCTCCAATTTCAGTAGTTGATTTGATATAGGCTAATATGCAATTCAAAATACAAATCTTTCTTTTGACGTATTAAGATCAACTACACTAATCTTTGTTTCGTTTTTAAGTTTTCATGCCACGATATGACCGTACCTATTGCTCAGTGACCGGATTTAATACTTTGTTGATTTGGTATTACTCATAGAACACAAGCCTTTGTTGCTATTGCTTAAGAAAGGTGCTTCTTTTAAGAAATGAGAAATTAATAGTACTATTTATTACGTTTGTTTTAATTTCATACTTGGCGCTGATCATCTATTGATTGTCGCAGGCCGACTGATATGGTAATGTTAGACTATTATCTACATGTATTTCTGTGTTTCCACATCTACAAGGGAGATTTCGATTACCGTGGTCTAGTTTCGCAAACGGCGCAGCTGGCCGGCAGCCTACACCTCATCGGAGCCTTGACCCACCTCCACAGTCTACAGATCAACCTGTTGAATAACCAATATTGAAACTATTGTAAGTTTTGCTTAGAATGAGTTATAAATTCAGTAACTATTTTAAAATTAAAATTGTACTTCTTGCCTTCAAGTTATCCCATTGCGAAGGCGAAGGTTCAGTGCGATGGCAAGAAATGGACAAGTCGAAGCTAAGAAGCGATTCGACTAGTTAAGTTTAAAACCTTTTATAATATATATTTTCTGATCATTGTATAAGTACTTATAGTATAGCGTATCGTATTGTCTTTCATCCTGTTATCTATATGTCAATAAATAACCACGATCTCCTTATATAAATGTAGATAATAAAAGAAATGAGTTATTTATTCAATATAGTGTTTACTTTTAATTTCAATTTCTGCTGAAAAAATAAGTCAATATATTATGAACAGGGCAATTACCAGACATGAACTATGAAACATAGTTTCTTCAGAACCCTATGTGTTTACTTTCAGAACAAAATATGTTAACTTTCAGAACATAATATTTGCTTTCACAATACTATCATATGTGTTTACTTTCAGCATACTATGTGTTTGTTTTCAGAACACTGTGTTTACTTTCAGAACACTATGTGTTCAGTTTTAAATACGCCTCTAATGTCAAGAAAATGAACCAGTTAAATTTCAGTTAATTGAAAATTGATTTCCATGTAACGGTATTATGGATCAAACCATCAAAAGATTTGTTTCATCTACCGGTCTTACTCCATTTACCGACATTTCATTCAATTGAATACAGTGGGAAGCGGGCTGTAAATTATGTCCCATTACTTTATGGCCCTTTATCAGTATGTCACGTGATATCAATCAATACAGGCACAACAAAAGAATGCTTCGCTAGAAACATATTTATTACATCACATTATTATGTCTACTGATAATATATCAAAATTAAATACATTTACTTTAGTTTAAAATACAAATCCCTATTTAATTAAGTAAATATATGGTAATACGGGTGCCACGGTGGCTCAGTGCGTAAGGCACTGACTCGCTAAGCAGGAGGTTTTGGGTTCGCTACCGATGTTGGCCGAGAAAGTTCCTCGGTTGTCATGGGCAAGGCCAGGGACAACAACATGTTGTTGGCGTGCACGAAAAGAACCTTTGGCATTTCGAAATAAGAGAAGGCCGTAGCGCCGCTGTCTGCTCAGAGAATTCCCCCGTAGCACATTGTAATATATTATATTATAATAATACTCTTTCGACACCACTTAAAACAATGTACACCTAATTTATTCTACAATAGATGGTCCCAGCATAATTACTATATTACCATGTTAATAGTTATATGTGTTACGATAATGATAAAATTCAGATTTATTTGCACATCTTGAATATTCGATAAAGACATGTGTGTAACTTGGCAATGATCAAATCTTCTCTATGTTATTTGATAAGGACAATGTGTTTACAACGTTGTTTACATCTTGTCCCTGTTATGTGGTGAATTATAATCATTATCAGGACCAATAGGTACAATATGGTATGGATTAATAGAAGTATGCTGAAATAAAGAGAATGGATTCACGTGTTTATATGAAAACGAAAAATTGAACAATTATTTTTACAACGTATGAAATTTGTGATGAATTATTCTAAAATACACGATATCGGTATTTCGAGGTACAAGTAGATGGCCATGTTCTCGATATAACCAACATAAATTTCCTTATTTAAATTAATAATGGTCTCAACATAACGGGGGTATTGACATTATGTATTATCGAGTCTGATAGTACATAGGATCGTTTTCAAATAAAAATAAACACTATATTTGTAATTGGAGATACTAGTAGACAGTCATTCCTCGAAACCAGTATAGCAACAGATATAGTCATGTCATCGAAACAACCGTGATCGTAACAAAAGAGTTAGACTATATATTTGAGACATTTTAATGTATATTTTCGTTCATTTATCGTAGAGAGAGGATCAATCAACTGTTTTTACTTCAATACAAGTAGTTATTCCATCGAAAGCATGTCAAAGCGAAACGAAATTTAAATCTATATTTTAATCAGATTTTGTGTATAATGTTTGGTAATAAAAGAAATACAGTTTAAGGTCTTGCTGTCAATTACGCTATACGTTGATTTTGGTTTTAAATCCCACCGATGGACTAGTCACATTTGCTTTGTTAGTCCAACAGGGGTCAAATTCCTTGTCCAAGGGCGGGGCTAGAAACCGGGACACTGCTGTGTTTCCATTGCATGAAACCACCAAATCATCGTTATTATAGTAGGAAGCAACCTAATCCAAATATAATCTGACGAAAACTCACATAATAATGATTGACGATATGATCCATGTCGACAGTTTGAGCTATACCAGGTATCTGATAAATATCACAAATATAACCAAATAAATTTTTATAATCAACCATCCTCTTCTTATTACACTGGAAAATATATTAAAATTTAAAATAATTAAATCTCTGTAAAACCAAAACTTAATTGATCGTAGATCGCTCCAGCTCAATATTAGTCTAGTTCTGTCAAAGGTCATAACGAGAATGGCTTTTTTCATTAATGGATTGAATGCGACAGGGCAATATTGTTGGTGATTCGAAATATAATGTTATCACACAAATCCAGAGGTAACGCAAAACGGAAAAAAATGTTATTGTTACTGACTAAAGTAGAGAGAGTATGATAGATTATCAAATCTAATCAAAGTAGTTCTTACCTTAAAATGTGTATTATACATGCAAACTGATTCAAGTTTAATCCTACCTTAAAATGTGTATGATAGACTGAATCAAATCTAATTAATGTAGTAAAGAGTTTGACATCAGCTTCTGTTAAACAAGGGCCTGTTAAATATCTTCTCTTTGATAGTATGCCATCAACCTGTAAATGTATCAGAATGTTTCTAAATAGGCTTGGACAATGGTTCGAGAGAGAGAGAGAGAGAAATGGGGTTTAACGTCCACTCGACACAAACTAGGTCATTTCGGGACTAACATATGGTTTAACTTTATTTCAACAATTCGCTTGCGCGTAGGGGTCTTTAGCAGTGGGAGGAAACCGGAGGACCCGGAGAAAAACCACGAGGTTGGACAGGCGACCCTACTCCTTGTCACGTACAACCGGGGATTCGAAACCACGCCAGTCGACTCAATGACAGACTTTATGATACAGCGCGCGCACGCTAACCATTCAGCCATCCAACCCCCCAACAATAGTTCGATAATATTCTCTGAAATATCATTTTATTTTATTGAAACAAAGTGTACTGTAAATCAGATTGGTCATAGACAAGAATTCTTATATCTACAATCAACACTGCTTTATTGACGCATACGTTTGTGTTTAAATAGACAGGGCGGGACACTACTAATTTCAATAATTCAATATATCGTAATATGTAAATATTATTGACAATATGTTGTGACCATTAAAGATGCCACGATAATCAATATAGTTATTTGAACATATCTCCATTTCCCTAACAATATTCTCTGAAATATTTATTCCATTTATTGAACTAAACTCTAAGCTTGACCTAACAAGGATTTTAATTTTCTCCCAGAAAAATTTTATTAGAGTTTTGAGGTTCATCGTATTGTTTCGCGTCTCATTGCTGGAAGCACTATAATATTGTCAAATATTGCAAGAATGGTAATAAATATTGTGGATTTTTATATCGTTTTCGCAATAATCAAAATTTCAAATATCCTCCATCCCTAGAGTCTAATTAGTGTAATAAGGCATGGACATGCCTATGACAAAGTAGTAGCATGTGGTTAGAAAAAAAGTAAATATACCCACGACTTACACAGAGACCCCAGCCCTAAATCGGTCAATAGTATACTGACGCCTATATTCCCGTGAATGCAAGTTTTCTGTTACATTTTACGAAATATTACATAAATTCCTTCTCGTTCGAAATATTACATACATTCATATTCGTTCGAAAAAATAGTTCAGTAAATATAGGTACACGGTTGGTACCCATAGCAATACCCATTCCCGCCTAATTCAGCTTAAATATTGTTTGTAAGAAATTCTCGTATTTCTGTTTGACTTCAAAGTATTTTTTGACAGTATAAAAGAGCTGTATTGCAAAGCTTGATATTGATATCGGGCGGTATTATTTTCAGAATAAATAAGAGATAGGCACTATATCTTTTAATCTGATTTTCCATGCATCACGAGATGTGGTAGTATATATATAGAGTAGAAAAATCAAATCTTATTATGAAAACACAAGTTGATGGAACTGGTGGTATGGAATATCTACCAAATCGCGATGGTAGATGCATATTCTTAAATAACCGTGTATATCAAACCATAATTCACCCTTTTAGTCTCCCACAGCTTCTGGATTATAGCTGTATAGAAGCAATCATCAACAATATCAAAAAATAACTAAACCTTATCCAGACCGTTAAACACGTCTACGACAGCTGGGTCATAAGCTTCCTGAGATTTTGCAAACCCACTTCTGTACACACCATTACTTATCTGACTGAAATCAGGGAAATAAAACATGCTATTATGTTTTATAGAATCAATTGGTCAAGATACATAGACGTTTTGGCAGTGATGTTTGTCTACTCGTCGGAAGAACACATTGTGATGGCTTTGACTACAATATAGCTGCATGTGGGATATTCAAAATAGATGGTAAGCCTATACCCAAGAAAATATGTCAAGCTACATTGAGACGCGGACATTTTTATTTTAAATAATTTTACAAACGAGTTTTTTTTTTTAGGGGGGGGGGGGGGCTAAAATCCACTCAACTCAAGCTAGTTTATATCACGACTAACATAAATGTGATTGTGCACAGAGGTCTTTAGCAGAGGGTTCGAACTAAAAAGTCTGTAGAAAATCACGTGGTTAGACACAGGCAAACCCACGTTCCTTTCAACGTACAAGCATGGGTTAGAAACCACGGTATTTGGCTCAATGGTAGCCCATACGATCTAAAGTGCACACATTGGACATCTCGACCTCGTCCTCGACCACCCAATCCCCTTCTATAAAACGAATAGTTGATATAACATACGGATAAATCCATGAGTTGAGTTCATCAATCTCTGCTCTTAGATTACTGGGATATAGATCAAGTCGTTTCTGATCGTCTGTTTTACATAAAGTATTAAACTCTGTGTTAAACATTCTAATTATTTCACTCGACTCGTTATTAACAACAGTCTTCTTCTGTTTATCCCATAAACATGGTACAGTGACTCTACCCGTATAGCCTGATTATAAAACATAAACATATATTTCACAAAATTCAATATTATATTATATTTGTAACACACTCTATTTTAAAGCAGTGTGCTTTGGTTAATTATCTTCCCCTGGGGTATCCCCTTAGAGGTAAGCGCAAAAACATTATTCTTCTAGGAATCGGGCCCAATGTTCTATATTATCTGCTCTAGTTATTAATACAGTCGTCTAAAAATTTCAACTCACAATGGCTCCTGCTAATGAGACTCATTGAACTCAACTATACATTTCCGAAAAGTTTAACCAACGCTCTTCTATATGATGTTTAATAGAAATACGAAATAAACTAATAGAGGATGTATCCACTAAATGGTTTGGTTTACAATACTGTCGCCTAGATTTGCTATCTAAACAGGCAAGAGTTAAAGATGCATTATGTAATTTAGATAATAGTTAAAAAATAGATAATGGAAGGGGAGTATGTTGCAAATTTCAGTCAAATTACTTCATTCTGAGTAGTCTCGATTGTCATTGCTATCGTTGTTGTGATAATAAACGAAGTCTCAATTGTCCATTTTGTAATCAAATTATTAACAAGCAATCGTGTTTAAATCCGTTGAAAACCAAACCCATCCGATGGTCTAGATAGAGAGTTGATTGTGGGCTTGGCATGTTAATAAATATCTAATTAATGATTTATATTGCATAACGGAAGATCTGCATTGGGCAAGTTTAGCTCTTACATAGGCTTACTCTTCCAACTACCCCCAGTCCAAATTTGGATAAAATTTACAAATTTATTATTTTATTTAAATGTTTGTAAACAATGGTATTACACCGCAGTGGGTTTTAGTTCATGGCAAACACAAATTTAACCACATGATTATAGGATTGATGTTTGCAAATTGCAAGTAAGAGGATATAACGTCCAGCCAAGACAAACTATGTCATTTTGAGACTATGTCATTATTCGCTTGTGCACGGGTTAGACAGGTCGTCATACTGTGTGGAATTGGATAGATAACAGACTTTTGTTATTAACAGCACACCACTTTAGACCAATCGGCCACCCACTCCACAACATGAAAATTATTCTGAATATACGCGCGCTTTTAAAATACATTTTTAAAGAAATATAATGATAAAGAGTGACAAACCTGGATCAGCAAGATTATAAACTTCTCTTAGATAATTACAACCATTAACAGTATCCAGTGTACATTTAGGTTTCTGTAATACAAAAAATACGGTTAGAAGGTACACAGTGTCCACTGTACATTTGGGTTTCTGCAATACAAAAAATACGGTTAGAAGGTACACGGTATCCAGGGTCCATTTGGGTTTCTGTGATACAACACATATGGTTAGTAGGTAAACAGAATTTGCAATCGGATCAAGGCATGGGCTTTAGGCGCTCCAGAGCGAGAGCCTCCATAGAATTTGTGAATGCTGAATGAACGTACTGCAGGGGCGGATCCAGTGGGGGAGGGGGGCTCAGCTACATAATTTTTTTTGTAAATCAACACTTTTTATGGGAAAAGTTTCTCGGCCGTGTGCTTTATCCTTTATCGTCAGATGTGGGGCAGGATGGGCACTTAAAGCACGAGATAATGATATAGACATTATGTGATATCACAATTAATGTTTTGCATCCATGAAATTGAATCACATTGTCATTGTATTAATTCATAATAAAAATTGACGTCAAACGAGGTGTTGAATTTCTCTGTTTAAAAGGCTCAATGTGTATGTATATACGCCAAAATAACGATAGAGACCATTCGGGAGGGGGAGGGGGATACATTGTCTCAGGAACCTGGCAAACCCCCTCCTGCAAAAATTCCTGGATCCGCCCCTGTACTGTTACCTATTTAAAAGGTTCAATTAAAGTAACGATGCGTCATTTGCATTTTTCGCTCATATATCAAATTTCTCACGACTTAATCCACGCTAATGTACTCAGATTGATTATTTAGCAAGAAAACAAAATCATATTAACAATGCTAGATATGCTTGGATTCAATCGAATTTCTACCAATAAATTTTCGCGGACAACAAAATGTCACACATCATAGATCGATGAAAATTCAACTCCACATATCTTTGTAAATACTGAACATTGAATTGAACCAGCTTTATACTGATATTCCTATTAGAGGTATATTTTTCACAATAATGTAGATTTTTCAAGTGATTACTATAGCGCTAAAATGACGCAAAAAAACACCCAACGTACTGCTTTACTCTAGCCCAGAAGCCACAGAATCTTAATTCCACTCTAAACAGAAGCTATAAAATAATTAGAGTAAACATCAGGCATCTTCTATCATTCTTGTAATTCGGCAGTTTTATAGTGCAGGACTAATTACTGTCCAACAAAAATACAGAACAGCACAGACACAATATCAAAGTTAATCACAATGGCATAAAATAAATATAGTGCAGTGTTCAAGTTCCAAAAGTAACCCAGGTGGAAACAATTGGTCAGCTACGATTGAATGAATGAACTGCGCTTTAACGTCCTACTTTTCTGAACGGTCAGCTACGTCAACCAGTCACAAGAAATCTACTGTCTGTATCCTCTAATAAATCACAGATAACCCCAATGATAACTGACTATTGTCATGTACATTGTAAACTGGTTAGACTAAAAAAAAATCTGTGGTTTCTAGAATGCTTCGTCAAACGTACGGCTAATTGCGGTCATCAACGTTTAATTCTAGTCTCCACCAGAAGAAACGAAGTGAACGCCATCCAGATAGTTCTAGCACCACGGGGTAAAAATAAATAGTGGTGACAACTGGTCTAATCATTCTTCTCACCTTATCAGTAAACGACCATCCCTTTTCACCGATCAGGCAATCAACGATTGTCATTGAGATGACGTCTTCTAGGCCTTTTAAGGTTCTAACTATAACAGCTCTACTAGCCCAGGGACAGGACAACGCTACATACAGATGATATCTCCCTGCTTCCGCTTTAAAGCCGGACGAACCATCAGCTGTTTAGAAAAAAATAAATCTATTTTAAGAACGTATTTATTGATTTTTTCAAATATGAACATGAATTTTAATTTGATCCTATAATTTGACATTCTGTCACCACTGCATTTAGAAAGTTTACATATCTGAAGATTTTTTGTACTTTAAAAATTAAAGCAGGTTCTATTTCAAAAATTAGATAAGTGAATCTGAATTTCCCGCCCTTTTTAACAATACGCGTCACAGCTTATAGCGTTTTATAAACATATTTGTATAACGGAAAGGCGCAATTAGAGCCATTCTGCACACAGAGATCCATCTAGATCTCTGCCCTCAATGACCGCCATATCTAAAAATTAATATCCTGTTTTGTAATGTGGTTCTACTCCGTTTCACATCTGTCATACACACAAAGATTAAATAAACTTTTTTTTTAATTTCATTATATGAAAGCAGAATATATACTTCTCAAAACTTTCAAAGTATACTTTATATAGTGTTTTCGATTAAAATCGTCGATTTCAAAATCAAAATGTCGGTCAACTATCTTAGTGTCTGTTCTCAAGTGGAGCTAACTGTAGACAGACAGACTAAGATTAGCATGACATAGAGCCTGGATTATCTAGGCGACATTAATTAATTATTAAAAGTTTCATGACTGGCGGAAATACGAAAACCATGCAAAAGCGTGCAAAAGGGAGTGTGTGTGTTTTGGGGATGGGGAGTAGGGGTAAGATTGGGAGCCAAAATAGTTTCTAAAATCATTTAGTTGTTTTGGGTGACATATAACTCGTTTTACAACCGATTTTGACGAATTGTCAGCCAAATTTGATTCTTTTTTTTTAACAAATTGGTTAAAACACAGATCCTATTCCATTTCGTTTTACTTGTCTTTACCAAACTTGGATCTGGAAGACTTGTTATTTAACTCGTATTCTGCTTGAAATTAGGGGTCAGCCAATCAAATGGTCTGTCGAATCGAGTGTTTTTCACCTTTTTTGCCCGGCACTGTGGGTAATCCACTAGTAACATCAATGCTGATTGGTTAATCAAATGTCTCATGTCATAGGTCAAAAGTCGGTCTTTTGACCCCTGACGTGACCTATCGCTCTAACTTGTTAGACCTTCATGTAGTGTAGGCCATCGAAAGTATAAAAAAACGAAACGAAATATAAATCTGTATTTTAATCAGATTGCTTTTTTAACAAATCAATTATGGGGGATCACGTTGCTAAGTGGGTAAGACGCTGGCTCGCTAGCCTGGAGGTCGGGTGTTCGATCCCTGCATTGGCCGAGAAAGTTCATCCAGATTTTCCGGCGTGGTTCCCCCGTGTCAGTGATGCAGGACGGAGGGCCGGACAAGGACAGCTGTCTAGTCCTTCGGGTGAGACGAAAAACCGAGGTCCCGTGTATACATTGGAATGCACGTAAAAGATCCCTTGGCAGTTGGAATTCTATATAAGAGTAGGCGACAGTGCCGCTGCCCGGGCAAAACTTCCCTCATAGCACACTGTATGGCGTATGCCCGTCTTCATTAGCCCAGCATTGGAGCAGAACAGTAGGACGTTAAACCCAATTTCATTTCATTTCATTTACAAATCAATTATGTGGTTTAATCACCATCGCGATTTTAAAGGAACTAAATCGCTAATATTTGGAACCTACAAATTGACACTGATATTTTTTGCGCATGCTCTCCAGATAAGAATATGAGGTCACCGTTTGACAGGACTTGTGAAAAATGTCGAATATGTCTCTCGTTACAAATGGCGCTGAAACGCATTATGGTACACTATTCGTGTACCAATGGTAAAATGTTTATTTTGTCTTAAATACTTTAAGGCCGTATAAATACCCACTAGGTTGTTACGTAACTTGGCAAAGTAAACAAAATGAATTGTTATCTTAACCTACCTGTTATGTGATTACAAAACGCAGCATCCTTTCTCTGGAAAGCTCCTTTAGTATCCTCCGATTGTTTCGTGTCGCCGTTGGTAGACATGGCAGCGTATAGTTGCTGGTGCTGAACACTGCACAGTTTAAAACGGGTTATAAACCTGCAGCGCTATGTATAAATAAAAAACCGTCATAAAAATGCATTAACTTTGAAAAACACTATTAACAGGCTGCTGCCTCTATAGTGGTTTGCGTTATGTAGCCTACCATCACGACGACTATGCGATTGTTTGTGGATGGGTGGTGTCCGTGTTTGTCCAGACCCTGGCTATATAGGGGCAGGGAACTCTTTTTTTTGGGTGGGGGTGGGGGTGGGGGTGGGGGTGGGGGTGGTAGCTACGGTGGCGTCTGTGTCAGTGGGGTTGGAGGAGAGACAGGGTGCCCGAATTTCTCTATGTTTGCCCGAATATTGTGTGAAACAACTATTTTGTTTGTAGGGAGGTGGGTGTGGCTGCATGTGTGCGTGTATGGAAGAGTGGGAGGAGGAGGGGGTAAAATTGGCGGGAAATGAGTTAACGTTGATGTAAATGATGATTTTTTTTAGAGTTTGGTAAAAACATTACTTTTATATGCTGCTGCACATCTCTAAATATGTGTATAAGATTCCCATTGAGTGGGGAGTGGGTGTCGGGGGTGGGTGGGTATTTTCGGGACAGAACGAGAAGCCACTTTTAAGGTCAATTTTGAACCAAATGATTTCTGTTCCCAAAAATACATGTTGCACCACCCTGGCACCCCCCCCCCCCCCCACACACACACAATGGCCTGAATGGGAATCTTATACACATATTAATAGATGTGCCGCGATATTAAAAAGTAATGTTTCTACCAAGCTCTAAGAAAATCATCATTTACATCAACATGAACTACCCCCCCCCCCTCCAGGCCTCCACACACACACACACTCTTCCATATACGCACACATGCAGCCCCACCCCACCTCCCTACAAATCAAAATAGTTGTTCAGGGGCATCATATACACTTATTTAGAGATGGATAGTCCTAGAAATTTAAGTTTTACTTTTATCAATATATAGCCTATAACATGATCATCATGATCATTTATGTCAACATAATCACATTTCCCCCCAATTGTAGACATTGGACCCCCCCCCCCCCCATATCTCGAAAACGCCCCTCAGAGACGCCTGATCATCACACATATTCGAAATCTATGCAATAAACTGGTCTAGAAAAACTTGGTTTTATAAATTCACAGCTCGGGTGGCGATTCGCCCCCCCCCCCTTCAGCCGCCGGACTAGCTATAACCACAATACTGATATGAATGTGTGTTTTAAAACTCGACAGTTTCCGTGTACCAAATATAATACCGTATTTGGTTATAGGCCTACGTATAACTATAATGCATAACGGTTGTTATTATATATATAATATAGGCCCTGGCCTAGGCCTATTGAAATGGAAATTTTGCAGTCGCAGAGTAGTAAGTTAGGCTGCATATTAGGCCTGTTTGCAAAGTATCTGAATTTACGGGAGTTTACACCCAGGGTTAATAATCATATACCGGTACTAGATGATTCCTTTAAAATATTTATCAGAAACATTATCAAGCACTATTTAGCGAAATGAAAACCGGAAAGACATCGCCATTTTGCATCAATTCAAAAAACCTTGTCGGCAAGACGACCCCAACCAAGCTCCTCATATTATAACAGTTTCAAAAAGGTTTCACGTGCGAGTTATCCTATCCTACTGCCTATAATTCTTATAAATACTACAACTAAAATCAAAACGTTCATTTATCTGAACAACACACATAAAAGGCAAACGAAATCATCTTCAAAGTTCAGAAAAATCGAGTTAAAAACACTCGGTAAAAAAGTTATCTCCCCTAGTATTTGGCTTTGAACGTCCAGGTGCGTGGGAAAATTAGACAAAAAAAAAAAAAAAAAAAAAAAAAAAAATACACTAAAATATCGCACACTAGGCTAACTGAAGATCTTTATTTCACCAAATCTACAAATGCACAAGGTATTTCATGCCAAACTTAATTAACTGTCTATGCTGGCTAAATCAAGTTATATCGTCGCAAAGTTAAGAGCACCCGGATTCGAGGCGACGTGCGTCGGTTGAATAACTCAATAGGCCTAAATCAAGGCCCTTGGCAAGGCATGTTCCTGAAGCAATGACCGCGAGTTTTACGTAGTTAAGGCGAGGTATCAAGCCTTCTATTGAAGATGTTGGCAAGGGTACACTCACTCGACATAAAAAAAACCCAAAAAAACAAAACAACACCAGTTCCTTAAAATAATGATTGAATATTCAAGTTCTATCAACAGGGGAAGGCGTGGTAGTAAGAATCTAAGACTATTGGGTAACAAAATCTGATCCTCGGCGTTCCACGTAATAGCAGAATTCTATTTCCACCTTAAGCCCCTGTCACACCAAACTAGTTCTCTTCTGAAAAAAGTTGCCAAACGGGCTTAAACTCAGTGCTTGCAAACTTCATGGTCAAAAACAAGAGCTGCCACCTGTTGGCTAATCTTCGCTATTTTTATCTTTTGGTATGCCTGCAAAACAGAGACGTACTGGGCGGGTGGGCAATTGCCTAACCCTGTCCTGATAAATACAAAAACAAAAGAACCCGGAAATGGTTGATAACGCTCGAATTCGATGAGATTTCCTACCCGGGTAAGGGCAATCTGATTAAAACACAGATCCTAATTCGTTTCGTTTTTTATAGTTCAAAATTTCGTTTTACTTGTCTTTACTACACTAGGATCTGGAAGAGTTGTTACAACAAGCGTTCTTATTGATGTGGGGAATTAGAGAAGGAAACGGTCTGTTACGGCGAGTTCTTGGCGTTCCCTGTACAGAACTGTGGTTAAACCCCTAGAAACGTCAACGCTGATTAATATTATTAATCAATGTCTGACGTCATAGGGTCAAAAGCCGCTCATACGACCCCTGACGCGACCTTCCAGTATAACTGGTCAGATCTTCATGTAGTGTAGGCCATCGAAAGTATAAAAAAGAAACGAAATATAGATCTGTATTTTAATCAGATTGAGTATATAGGGGTGTGTGTCGGTGTGTGTGTGGCTATGTTTCCTCCATTCCGAAAAAGTGCAACCATTTCTAAAAAAGTGCCCTTGAATTTAAAAAAAAGTTAACTATAGTCAGGACCGTACCTAGCTCAGAGCAACGAGGGGGGCGGGAAGCGTTCTCAGGGGTGGCCATTTTAAATGGAATAGAAATTTCGCATAGCAGTTGGGTTTAATCAAATCATATAATTATTCGGCAAGGTTTCCTCTTTATCTCAATGGGAATTGGTTTATTATTATGTTAAGCTATGTGCAGTACAGTTTTGGGTCAGTATAATTGGGAATTAAGGGAGTTAGAGGCCAGTAACTTTATTTGTTGTCAAATGACCACAAAACATGCTCAAAGGAAGGCTTTAGGGCGGTCCATCTACTGTGGCTGGAGCAAGACTGGAGACATCAGTAGTGGAACCATTTCTATAGAACAACTTGCCCTGGACCAAAAAGTGTCGGAGTTTGGCATAAGTTTTATTTTGGGATCCAACATCCAATCCACCAGGCCCGTATTAAGCGGGGTGTTAACCGGGCTATTGTGCCAAATAAAACTATCTATCAACCATACAAATTGCATTGTGTGTGTGATTGACAATGACCAGAATATACCCATTTTTTCACTGTTGCAGCAAAGGCCACAGTGACATTTTCAGCCCATGCAAGCTTAATCCGACCCTGATTCCCACTAATGGCTTCCAGATTAGATTTCACAGCCGGATTAAACATACATTATGTAAGAGCTAAATCTTCCTATTGCAGGTCTTTCTTTAGGCGTGAAATGTTATCTAGATTATTAATTAGATATTAATTAACTTAACCAGGGTCAGCGAAAGCAATTCTTGATTGGGGGCGGGGGACTACCATCCTTATAGGTCCTTAGGCGAGGGCCAATGGGCCGCCTAGGCCCCGGAAGCTCTTGAGGTCTAGATTATCGGAAACGCTTTCTGAGCGATTTCTGGCTAATAAAATTACTCAGCAATGAAGTGAAATTTTACCATGAAAACACAATTTATAGTGGTTTAATCCGGTGATGCTGAACTTGACAAATATATACGCATAATAATATCAAGGTTGTGGACACTATATAGATGTTACAAGTTTTATCCGATTTTGATGAAACTTTTGATACTGGCGCGTATAGGACCGTCACTTCCTGTATTATGGGCTCTGATTGTACGAACAATAACATTTTAGTTTGTGGACCCTGATGAAACTTGAAATACAGGTCTATATCCCAAAGGTCTCGGTTCCTTTCGAAACTGGCATGTATCGGACCGTAACTTCATGGATTATGACCTCTGATTGTACGAAAAACACGTTTTTAGCTTATGGACACTCTAGAGGTAACAATTTTCATCCAATTTTGATGAAACTTGAAATGTATGTTTGGTTCCTTACCATATTCGTGCATATGTGATTGTAACTTCCTGGATTATAGCCCCTGATTGTACGAAAAATCGCGTTTTTAGCTTGTGGTTCCTTTAGAGGTTACAATTTTTATCCGATTTAAAAGTCGTTTGAATATATCACCGTTATACCATAATTACGGTTGAGTTCACATTTACTGAAAATCGGACCGTACTGCCCGACAAAATGGCCTCTCCCATAAAAGCGTGTAATAATACCCAGGTTAGATCTAAATATTAAGGCAACCTGCAGATTTCGCCAAGGTCACGAGATGTAAACAGGGCTTGCGCCAACCCTACCCAAGATCTAGCCCTTCCTCATGGGCACCAATTGCTGGGAAAATTTGGGCACATAGTTGTAAACAAAATGTTGTGTTCTTGAATGTGTCCAATTTAACAGCAAATTTATTATCATTATGTAACATACTAAGAACCTAACTACATTTTTTGGGCACCAACCACCACCGCCCCCCCCCCCCCAGTCAAAAATTTCCCCGTACGCCTATGCCCTTCCTAACCCACAATCATCGGCAACAATCACGTGCCCTAACCCAATCGTTACCTTAAAGAAATCTGCCGGTGGATATAATATTTAGATATGACCGTTATACCCAGGTTGTAGACCATGCAGCGGTTCGAATTTTTTATCCAATTTTGATGAAATTTAAAATATATATTTATATCCCAAAGATCTTGGCGCGTATTGGACCGTAA